CGCTTTTAGCTGCGATACTTTTAACATATAGGTCTATAGGTGGAATATCCAGCAGGGTCTCTAGAGATGCCTGGGGCGTTCAGTAAATCGCTCCCGTTGTGCATAAGCATGCTTGTCGTTGCATCTTTTGCAAGTTGAGTAGATGGGATTTGGTGTCAACCGCCTGCCACCATACCAGCGCGCCAAAGGTGAGGATAGCTCTAACTACCACCGTATAAATCCAATGTATTATCTGCGGTCGCAGACCCCAGTCTTTTCCAATAGTAGCTTTGCTCTTCGNAAGTGCTGGACGGATTCTAACTCCTCCTCATCCCTGCAGCTTCTACAGAAATCATTATGCGGGGCTCCGAACCTGGCGGCCATGTGGCCAGATTGATTATGTGTTGCTGTAGATCTTGTAGGGATCTTCGACATTCTTTAACGCATAACGAGTTAGTCGTTGCCGACCCTAAGGCTTTGATAGCCGCCTGACTGTCAACAACGAAGGCAAGTGTAGGTGGAGCTAAGTCAATCATGCCCACCAACCTTGCCGCCATATGGATTGCATATATCTCAGCCTGAAAAACACTGCAGTGGTCTGGGAGTCTATACGACTCCCTCAGAGATAATTCCTGAGAGAAGACCCCAGATTGTTCCGATATCCATTTTGGAGCCGTCCGTGAAGATGTGTATTTTGTCATCGCTGAGAGCAATATTAAATTCCCAGTCACTTCTGTCAGGAAAATGGATATCGAAGTTCCGATTGAAGTCAATTTCCGTGACCTGATGGTCACAGCGGCTGTATTCCACACCCACTCTCCGAGGATTGTGGCGTGACATTTGCAAGTTGTTCGAACCTGTTAGACGCTCTAAGTCGTAGAGCGCTTTTAGCTGCGATACTTTTAACATATAGGTCTATAGGTGGAATATCCAGCAGGGTCTCTAGAGATGCCTGGGGCGTTCAGTAAATCGCTCCCGTTGTGCATAAGCATGCTTGTCGTTGCATCTTTTGCAAGTTGAGTAGATGGGATTTGGTGTCAACCGCCTGCCACCATACCAGCGCGCCAAAGGTGAGGATAGCTCTAACTACCACCGTATAAATCCAATGTATTATCTGCGGTCGCAGACCCCAGTCTTTTCCAATAGTAGCTTTGCTCTTCGGTGTTCCTTTTCCAGGAAAGCTTAGAGTCGAGAATAACTCCCAAAAACTTTTCTTCTTTTGACAATTCGAGATTTGCTCCATTGAGGGACGGAGATCGGAAATTGCNATGTGTTGCTGTAGAGCTTGTAGGGATCTTCGGCATTCTTTAACGCATACCGAGTTAGTCGTTGCCGACCCTAAGGCTTTGATAGCCGCCTGACTGTCAACAACGAAGGCAAGTGTAGGTGGAGCTAAGTCAATCATGCCCACCAACCTTGCCGCCATATGGATTGCATATATCTCAGCCTGAAAAACACTGCAGTGGTCTGGGAGTCTATACGACTCCCTCAGAGATAATTCCTGAGAGAAGACCCCAGATTGTTCCGATATCCATTTTGGAGCCGTCCGTGAAGATGTGTATTTNCTTCCCCGAGCCCCATCTCAGATCCCTTCCTAGCACATTCGTCCGCTTCCTCATTTCCCGGGACACCACAATGTCCCGGTACCCAGTAGAGATTGATTATGTGTTGCTGTAGAGCTTGTAGGGATCTTCGGCATTCTTTAACGCATACCGAGTTAGTCGTTGCCGACCCTAAGGCTTTGATAGCCGCCTGACTGTCAACAACGAAGGCAAGTTTAGATGGAGCTAAGTCCATCATGCCCACCAACCTTGCCGCCATATGGATTGCATATATCTCAGCCTGAAAAACACTGCAGTGGTCTGGGAGTCTATACGACTCCCTCAGAGATAATTCCTGAGAGAAGACCCCAGATTGTTCCGATATCCATTTTGGAGCCGTCCGTGAAGATGGGTATTTCGTCATCGCTGAGAGCAATATTAAATTCCCAGTCACTTCTGTCAGGAAAATGGATATCGAAGTTTCGATTGAAGTCAATTTCCGTGACCTGATGGTCACAGTGGCTGTATTCCACCCCCACTCTCCCGAGGATTGTGGCGTGACCTTTGCAAGTTGTTCGCAGCCTGTTAGACGCTCTGAGTCGTAGAGCGCTTTTAGCTGCGATACTTTTAACATATAGGTCTATAGGTGGAATATCCAGCAGGGTCTCTAGAGATGCCTGGGGCGTTCAGTAAATCGCTCCCGTTGTGCATAAGCATGCTTGTCGTTGCACCTTTTGCAAGTTGAGTAGATGGGATTTGGTGTCAACCGCCTGCCACCATACCAACGCGCCATAGGTGAGGATAGGTCTGACTACCGCCGTATAAATCCAATGTATTATCTGCGGTCGCAGACCCCAGTCTTTTCCAATAGTAGCTTTGCAGGAGTAGAGCGCAATGAGCGCCTTCTTTCTCCGCTCTTCGGTGTTCCTTTTCCAGGAAAGCTTAGAGTCGAGAATAACCCCCAAAAACTTTGCTTCTTTTGACAATTCGAGATTTGCTCCATTGAGGGACGGAAGTCGGAAATTGTCTATTTTATATCGCTTGGTGAAGAGAACAAGTTCGGTTTTAGTGGGATTGACCCCTAGGCCGTTTCTTTCTGCCCACCCTGACAGATTGTTAATTGCAGATTGTAAAATCTCGCTGACCGCGGAGAGCAATTTTCTCACGTCCAGAATGACTAAGCAGGAATTCGTTTAGCACGAGGTTCCACAGTAGGGGGGATAGCCCCCCCCTTGAGGTGTGCCCCGTGTGGCTGTTTTCCTTACTTCTGATGTTCCCAAGGAGCCATTGATATTTCTGGTGCTCAACATATTGTCGATCCAGAGAGTGATCAATGGGTCCAGTCCTACAGCCACCATGGAGCAGTGTATGGATGCCAAATTAACTTTGTTAAAAGCGTCCTCCACGTCCAGGAAGGCTGCCAGCGCATATTCCTTGTGATTTAGTGCTTGCTCTATACTCCCAACAACCTCGTGCAGGGCGTTTTCAACCGACCTACCTTTACGGTAGACATGCTGAGCCTCGCTGAAGTTCCCAGGAGTAAGGCGTTGCGTGATCTGCAGACTCAGAAGCCTCTCAATTATTTTGAGAAGAAATGATGAGAGGCTAATGGGCCTAAAATCTTTTGCAGTGCTGTGGCCCGCTTTTCCTGCTTTGGGAATGAAGACCACTCTTACCTCCCTCCATGGCTTTGGGATATAGCCTAGCAGACTCGCCCTATAGATTGTCATTAGCCAGTGGGTTACCGTGGCGCGTGTTCGTTGTCGCATAGCTGGAAAGATCCCATCCGGTCCCGGAGATTCGTAGGGTTGGAAGGATCTGATAGCCCAAGCTACTTTGTCTGTAGTGATGATTTCGTCCACTGGACTGCCTTGCCTGTGGGTACTAGGGTGTTCTGTCACAGGAGTTCCTGTGTCCCCTGCGTCACCGTAGCCAGGGAAGTGGATGTCCATAAGGTGTTCCAGTGTTTCAAGGCTGCTTTCGGTGTGCCCTCCTCCTGGCTTTTTAAGAAACCCGGGAGCCGGGTTTTTCGAGAGGCACCTCCTTAGTCGCGCGGCATCAGTAGTCGCTTCGCGGTCCTCGCAAAATTTGGACCACGAAACCTTCTTTGCTTTCTTTATCTCTTTCTTGAACGCATTGAAGTTGCGACGATATTCGTCCCAGTCCTCCGCGTTCTTAGTGAACTTCGCTTTATTGAAAGCTTTCCTAGCTGCTATCCTGAGCCGTCTTAGATCGGCCGTCCACCACCTTGGGTGTCGCTTAGAAGGTTTGCTCTCGGGACAGGTTGTTATGTAACATTCGTTGAGAGACTTCGTTAGACAGAGGACCGCTCCCTCCAGTTGGTTCGCTGAAATTGGCTCCACCGTGTACGGTGGACTCGCTCCAGACACCAACTGGCTGAATTTTTTCCAATTTGTTCTACGAAGATTTCGATAAGGTTTTAGTGTCGGTCTGCTTAGGTTAATGGAGAATACGATGCGACAATGATCAGAAAAAGAGCATTTTGTCGAGACGTGCCAGCCGTCAACCCTAACATAGTTCGGGTTAGTTACAAGAGTTATATCTATAACCTCCTCCCTTTTTCTATTGTAGAAAGTCGGGTGATTACCCTTGTTACAGATACTAAGTTTTGTGGATAATAAGTTACTAAAGAGTGACTCACCTCTATCGTTGATGTTCGAGCTGTTCCACGCCGTGTGGTGAGCGTTGGCGTCACAGCCAGCCACCATATTTATCCCTCGTTGCTCCACCCAGGCGGTGAGTTTCCTGGAGGATATTGACGGGGGATCGGGTACATCGTATGGCATGTATAAAGATGCGAGGATGAGGTCGGGTGCTCCCCGCTGCTCCAACATTGCCACTGTCATGTCCGAATCGCTAAATTGGGGAAGAAAGAGAATATTAGTGCTTTTCTTAATCAGAATACAGGTTCTAATTTTACCTTCGGTCTGTGGGGTGAGAAGTAGAAAGTCGCTAGTGGATAGACCTGTGACCCTCCCCGCCACTAGCCAGGGTTTTTGTATTAGGGTCACGTCCACATCTTCCTCACCCATGAAGAGCAGCAGATCCTCCGATGCTGCCCTGCAGTGATGCAGATTAATCTGCACCACCTTTAGGCTTTTCGGATTCTCTTTCAGCATCGGGGATGATCACCCTGAGGTGACCGATGCCATATCTTATTTGGCCGGCTTTGCGACGAAGGATCTGCAAGGATTGTGGACCGATCTTGATCCAAAGGTCCTTGCCGTTACCCTTGTCGCGAGCGCGGCCTCGGACAATCGTCCAGTCGTCAGGGATGACATCCACGTTCTGACATTTGATTAGGGCTAGTGAGGTCTCGTCCTCCACAAGGGGGGGCGGGATCCACACTCGCACTGTCGTACGGGATGGCACCTCTGAGAGCGGAACAACTTCTAGTCGTGCGTTGGCCCAAAGTTCATCTTGGTTGCGGACGCAGTTTGTTAGGAAGTCTAACGACTCCTAGTTACCGCATCCAACAACTTTGACTCCCTTCTGCCACTTGGCTCCATCAAACATACCAATGTTGTTGTTTTTGGTACGCTGGATTTCGCCAAGTAGTGCCCTCATAATCTTTTCTTCCAGGAGCAACCATTTGTCCGTCGGAATCTTTCCTTCCGGGTGATTTCGGTCTATGATTGCTACCTGGAGCTCTGGTGCTGAGCATAAGGTTGATGAAGTTTTCACCCGCTTCTGCTNAGGATATTGACGGGGGATCGGGTACATCGTATGGCATGTATGGATGAGGTCGGGTGCTCCCCTCTGCTCCAACATTGCCACTGTCATGTCCGAATCGCTAAATTGGGGAAGAACGAGAATATTAGTGCTTTTCTTAATCAGAATACAGCTTTTAATTTTACCTTCGGTCTGTGGGGTGAGAAGTAGAAAGTCGCTAGTGGATAGACCTGTGACCCTCCCCGCCACTAGCCAGGGTTTTTGTATTAGGGCCACGTCCACATCTTCCTCACCCATGAAGAGCAGCAGATTCTCCGATGCTGCCCTGCAGTGATGCAGATTAATCTGCACCACCTTTAGGCTCTTCGGATTCTCTTTCAACATCGGGGATGATCACCCTAAGGTGACCGATGCCATATCTTATTTGGCCGGCTTTGCGACGCAGGATCTGCAAGGATTGTGGACCTATCTTGATCCAAAGGTCCTTGCCGTTACCCTTGTCGCGAGCGCGGCCTCGGACAATCGTCCAGTCGTCAGGGATGACATCCACGTTCTGATATTTTATTAGGGCAAGTGAGGTCTCGTCCTCCACGAGAGGGGGCCGGATCCACACTCGCACTGTTGTACGGGATGACACCTCTGAGAGCGGAACAACTTCTAGTCGTGCGTTGGCCCAAAGTTCATCTTGGTTGCGGACGCAGTTTGTTAGGAAGTCTAACGACTCCTAGTTACCCCATCCAACAACTTTGACTCCCTTTTGCCACTTGGCTCCATCAAACATACCAATGTTGTTGTTTTTGGTACGCTGGATTTCGCCAAGTAGTGCCCTCATAATCTTTTCTTCCAGGAGCAACCATTTGTCCGTCGGAATCTTTCCTTCCGGGTGATTTCGGTCTATGATTGCTACCTGGAGCTCTGGTGCTGAGCATAAGGTTGATGAAGTTTTCACCCGCTTCTGCTCAGGCTGTGTCTTCTTGTCGCCAGATAGTTGTCTCTTCGGAGTGCGTGCAACCGGTCCCTTACCACCGGAGGCAATAGCAGCTGCCGACGTCGAGGCCTTATCCCCGTCCAGCCGTGGAAACACTGGCCTCGCGGTCTTCGGCGCCTTGGGCGTCAGTGATTGCGACGGCTTGTTGTTTCCAACAGCGGAAAGGGGAGCAGCTTTCTTCGTCGGTAGACTGCTACCGCCCTCAGAGGGGGGTTTGGTTACAGCGTCCCTTTTTTCGGAGTTGGTGGCTTTTCCAGAGACCGCGGCCAAACTTCCGGAAGCATTCGAGACTTTCTCCTCACGGAGTCGCTCATACCTCCGGACAATGTAGGCATGCTTCTTTTGAAGAGCCTTGTCCCTTGGCGTTAGAGTGGCGGGGTCGCGTTCTCGCAAGGAATCGACGAGAGCTTTTGTACCCCATCTTTCTCTTCCGCTCTTTGCTGGCTTAGTGCAAGGGAATCCGCCCAGTCGCGATCCTCCTCATCTGAGGAGTCTAGCAGTGAGTAGATTTGAAGATCCTGGGAGCCCGACTCGCCACTTTCGGATTGGCACCTCTGTTGCCTTGCCAATGTTTTTGCCTCAGTAGCTCGCCTATCATCCAAGCCCTGGGCAGACACCTGGATGATAGGGTCAACAATAGCATTTCGATCGCTGGGGCCTGTTGTCACCACTCCAACGATAGGGTCTCCGGGGATTTTAGAACCCTCCTTTGCCGGATATTGATGGCCAGGCTGAGCAGACATTCCGGGGGGTTGCATTTTATACCTACTGCCAGGTGAAGGTTGTTCTGGCTCCCACTATGGGTCAGACGCAAACCAGGGAGCCGCCCCACTGGGGAACAAACGCCTCTGTATTTGTCGGTGCATTTTCAAACGCGAAGATTAGGGTCCCGTACGTAGTGGTCCACCCGTCATCACGTTCTGGTCGTCCTGAGCGTTCGTCGATGCACGTCACGTACAGTCCGGGTCCAGGCCTCACTACGGGAGCTCAGCCTTGAGCGAGGATATACCGCCTCGCACCGGTCGACAGAGCCTCGTTAGCGATAACAGGCACCACCAAGCCTTGACGGGCAATGGGTGAGGTTGTCGTTTGGGGAGGATAGGTTATAGATTCACTTCACTTCCCCATTAGATCCCCATCGAGTTGCTTGCTATCGGCGATTTCTCTTTTGGTGTTGCCCTTTGCATACATACACAGCAACTCTTTTGTACGCAATTGTTGGTGTCAGCTGTGAACCGCCAACTTGAATTATTCATACTCGGTACCCGTCCCCTTTCCTCGTCGCTCTCTCCCCTACAAGCTTCAAGTTGTCGCAATAGAAGTTTCCGAGTCTGTAGCTCGTTTCTGTAACAATTCTCTACCAAGGCGAATCCAGATTTGCATTCGCTGCCTTGTTCTCCACCGCTAATGAGTAGTAGAGAATGACTCAAGGCAAGGCGAGTTTATACAAGGTGGTTTTAATGGCGATTTTAGATTTTCGCCGCGGTACTTAATGTCAAAATGATGTATTTGTTGTAATATGAATTCGCCTTGTTTACAACAAACACATCGTTTTGACATTCAGAAGGACTGCGGCGAAAACCTGAATTCGCCAGTAACACCACCTTGTATAAATTCGCCTTAACGCAAGGTGTATTTAACAAGGTGGGGTTGGGCGAGAGCTGAGTTTTTCGTTTAAAAGTGATGTCTTTGTTGTAACTCATACCAATGACAGTATGGACATCTGCTTATAATTTGTTTGTGTAATTTTTTACTTATATACGGCTAACACCACCTTGTTAAATACGCCTTGGAATGACGTATATTATCCACCAGAAACGAGATACTGAACATCGATATATCGTATGCGCAATATGTACTGATGCTGTATGCGGATGTATACTGCTGTTGTATTCTGTATGCGGCTATAATTATTTCAACCACTGGATGTATGTACATAGTATTTGTCTTTTAATAAACAGAAGCAAACTAATCACTGCGCTTTTTCAATAATTTATAAAATTTTTTTATACGAATGTAGTCCAAAGTTTCGAACTTATCGCAAAATTCAAATAACAATTATATTTTAATGCATCTTCAATTTCAGCAAACAGGAAACATTTTACTGAATCTTGGGATGAAGTTTTTGCTGAGTATCGGGTGCAAACTTTGGTGCTGTGAATCGATAATCGATTAATTATATTTTAGTGTTAATAATTTTGTAACTTTTTATTTTCTTTCCTCGACGTTTGAGACATTGTGATTTTAAAGATATTCCGGCAATAAATTTGCACAGGAACACAATAAATTATAAATTAATAAATGTTAAATATTATTTCTATTGTGATAAAAAAAATAATCGATTAACCAATCAAGTGATAATTAGCCCGGCATCCCTAAAGGCCGGTCCACATAGAACTTTCGCGTTGGCCTTGACGTTGGCGTTGGTTTGACAGAACGCACGTTTAAAGTATGCTTGCTACAATGAACGCTTGGCAGCGAATGCTTGGGCCACTAAATTGACATACTAACGACAGATAAATTAATATTTTACATCAATAATTGCATGAAAAACGATATTTCTTGCCCGCACTTGATTAAAAAGGAAAAATATTTCCCATAATTTTATTTACGCGACGCACGCGGAAAGATGAGAGTTGGCCATCTTTTTTCTTTGTGTTGGCGTGAGCGTTGTCGAATTTTGGCTATGTGGACGGCTGGATTTGAATTCATGTATTCATAGTCAGCTGTTGAAGCGACGCCAACGCCAACGCAACGCCAAAGTTCTACGTGGACGGGCCTTAATTGTGCTTGAAAGTCGTCACTTCGATAATCACTTCACTTTTCCTCCCAAGTCACTCCGAAACACTTCACTTTTAGTGTGTTTTCACTTCGCTCGAAAATTAGCAAACGGCAGCACTGGTCAAAGTGCTTATCTTTTCGATAATTTTCTCGTCAATGTTTTGATAGGCACAGTTGATTGCCCCTCCCTCTTATACTACGTTTACATATAAGTAGATTGAGATTATATTTATATGTAAAGTATAATCTCAATCAAAGCACGTTTTTTAATCTCCAACGGGGCACAGACAAATCTCAGATTATTAGCTGTCAATTTGTTGTGCTTGTTGTTCTCACATCTCAAGGAAAATTTAAGTTCCTTCTTTTCCGTGGTCAATTTTTTCTGATATATTAAGCAATTTAAATATATTTTAACTTAATATTTGTTTAAAAATACCTTTATCGGTTTAATCTGAGATTATTTAATAACTACAGATTAACGAGGGACAAGTTTTGTATGGCTAATCTCTTTTTCTAACTAAAGATTAGGGAGTTAAGCTCGAAAATGAGGATAATTTACCTATATTTAAACCTAGTGATATGTATTATGTGTTTTGCCCCGTCTGGCATCACCTTTAGTACATCTTGTGTTCAATTGTAGGCATAATACATTGCATCACTTTAAGAACACACCATGTTTCATTTCTAATATATTACATTACTTTATGAACACATTACGTTACTTCTGTTATATTACACCAACTCGCTACTATGCATATATATATAATTGATATATGAATAAAGCGGCTACTCGCAGCTTAACATCTAAAAAGTGAAGTCATCGTACTGGCGACGAGATAATTAGAGCTTATTAAGCACTGTATATACAGTTAACATACCGTTCTTTTTTCTTATACGAACAAGTATATATACATATACTTCAACTAAGGCGATGCTAGGAAACGATTCTGCTAACGGAGCGGGTTTTGTGATAAAGGCGACCAATGCGCCGGAATTCTGCCCCAGCACGGAAACTTGGAGCATCTGGAAAGAAAAACTAGAAATCCATTTTAGTGAAATAAATTGTACTGACGACAATGAAAAGAAGGCGGTTTTACTAAAGTCAGTAGGGTCGGAGCCGTACACTCTTTTGCACAATTTGTGTTCTCCAGATTCTCCCGTGTCAAAAACGTTCAAGGAATTGTGTAGCATTTTAAATACCCACTACACACCGCCAACAATTGTGTTTCATGAGCCCAAAATGTTCCACAAATCTACCAAAGGCAGTGAAGAATCGATTTCCACGGGGTACGCTAGAGTAAAAAAGTTAGCACTGAACTGCAAATTCGGTGAGCATTTAAACGCATTTGTATTAGACCAATTTATGATGGGCTTACCAGAAGGAATCTTTGAAAGATAGTGCGAAGAAGACGACCACTTAACCCTTGAAACTGCACTCAGGAAGGCACTGATAATAGAATTAAAGCAAACTTCAAAGGTTAATCAAGCGGAAGAGTCTAACGTCAATTACATCAAAAGGAGTGCAAGCAACAAGCATATACGAAGCAGCGGTGGAGATGGCGGTACCAGTGGTGAACGGCCTAAGGGAAGCAACGACAGGAACAAAAAAGGCACTAGCAATAACAACAAGACGTCACATGTTGACAGAGGCTACAGGAAAGCTTGTTCACACGGTGGCTGGCGAAATCATGACTCGCATCAATGCAAATTTAAAAAACAGCAAATGTCACGCTTGTGGAAAAACAGGACACTTGGCATCTGTGTGCTATTCCAATTCTAATAAAACTATTAATTACTTATCAGATTCTGATGAAAGTAGCCAGATTCTAATGATAATTTAAATTTTTCTGTTTATAGCGTATCCGGCAGCAGTCCATATTATGTTTACTCATTACCAGTTGAAATTGATGGTGTGAAATTGGAAGTTGCTTGTGACACCGGTGCTCCAAGTACTTTGATCCCACTGTTACTCTTCCAGAATTGGCCCAACGAAAGAATATTGAGGCCAAGTAAAACTCCGTATGTAAATTATAGTCGGGATAAAATCGATTTATCCGGTGAGTACGATGCTTCAATAACGTATCAAGGTGCCACAAAAAAGCGTTAAAAAAACTAAAAATCCACCGTTGCTAAGACGAACATTTTTGAGAACGTTTAAATTCGAATTGTGTCAAATAAATTCAATCGGTGCCAATCGAAATTTTTCGGTACTCACTGATCAAATTAAAGATAAATTTTCGAAACCTTTTAGCGATGGTTTAGGCCTTTAAAAAACAACAAAATATCGTTATCGGTGTGTGAAAACGCCAAACCAGTTTTCTGTAAGCCGCGACCATTACCACTCGCTTGGAAAGACCGAATTAAAAGGCAATTAAGAGACCTAATATCTAAGAATGTCTTAGAGCCCGTGGATAATTTGGAGTGGGGAACTCCTTTAGTGCCAATTTTAAAACCAAACGTTGAATTGCGCATTTGCGGTGACTATAAAGTCATGATCAATAAATATTTAATAGATTATAAATATCCGTTACCACGGATAGACGAAATTTTCGCTGCATTGCAAGGCGGCAAGCTATTCACCAAGTTAGACTTATCCAATGCATATAACCAGTTAGAACTAGATGAAGAATCACAGCTCTTATGTACATGGAGTACATACATTGGGACCCTCAAAATGAAGCATATGCCTTTTGGCATAAAGCCAGCCGCAGCTATATTCCAAAAAAAAAATGGAAAATCTACTCCACGGAATTCCGTGCGTGGTGGTATATCAAGATGACATTACAGTCACAGGCAAAGATTTGCAGCAACATATTACACACTTAAAACTTGTACTCAGAAAACTAGAATGTGCAGGTCTCAAAGTAAATTTAAGCAAATGCGCATTTTTTCAAAAACAAATTAATTATCTAGGATTTACTTTAGATGAGCATGGGCTACGCAAAAATGAGGAACGTGTTTC